AAACATTATTGTTCAGGTAAAGCTTGATGATGCGCTCTTGGGGGGTTTCATTGCTGCGCGATCAGCATTGATGGGCTCTCACATGCCTATTGACGCTCGTGCAGGGATACTTGTGGGGAGCACAAGTCGCGCCATTACTCACAACGCTGCCAGCCGACCACAAGACCTTTGACGTGATTGTACTGGCTGATCTCATTTTCAACCACAACTCGCACGCAGACATGTTGCGGACGTGCCAACAGAGTCTGACGCGCTCGAAAGACGCAAAGGTGCGAGTTCTGTTTCGATGAGTTTGTTGGTGGAATGTTGGTTTCTGATTTGCAGACTGCGGCATGGAACTGGCCATGGGTTGTTCAGGTCTATGTTGTGTACTCGCACCACCGTCCTTGGCTGGCAGAACGAGACATGGTAGGGTGCAATTCAAACGAGAGAGAGAAACTGCAATGGGGTTTTTTGCTTTTTGTTTTTTTTTGGTTTGGTTTCTCAATCGTGATGGATTCATTGTCCCCAACATTGGTGTGGATTGATCCGCAGGCATTTTTCAAACTAGCAGCGGAAGAACCATTCAACTTTGTCGTTACGCCGCTGTTCGAAGTAAAAATGCCCCCAATGTTTGCCGGTACGTTTTGATCCTTTGCCCTTGGGCATTTTGTGTTGGAGTTTGTCCATCCTCATCCCTTTGCTTTCTGAATACAACTACAGAGGATCCTGGTGATGTTGACGTTCGGTCGACTGTCCATGGGCATCTGTTGACTTGGCCCGAAGCCGCGTTGGAGCCTGCCCAGTAGTTTTTCATTGTGCATTGTTTGATTAAACAATTCGAATTCCACACAGTGCCGCCTCTTGTTTTCTATATGGAACCAAAAGGAGTGCCAGATACTGACACATGCATTGCGCGGTTTGGTGCGTGATGATGCGGTGGATCTCGGATCTCGGGTTCCGTGTTTGGGGGGAAAACCGCATTCACCTGATGGAGTTTATTCCTGTCCATCCGCGTGCATGTTATCCACAACAAACAATTTGCAATGTGCGCTATCGAAGCACCTCAAATACACCTGGTGATTCGATCGACACTTTGAACTTTGGCTGTCAACAAAGCGTGCTTGTTGCCTCGGCAGCGGCTCGGTCGTTGTGCTCGCTGCCTGCCTCTCCTGTCTGTCGAGTTGACGCAACAACATGTGTGATCGTTTGATTGTTGTTTTGTGACGTTGTTTGTTGTGCACACACTAAACAAGGCAAAGATCGGCAACGTCACATCCGTGCAGGAGTGCGAGCGGCCCATTTTAGGAGAGGTCGCTGTCGACGTCACAGCCCCCGCTTTGAAAAATGATTGGCCCCCGCAATGATTTCGATCAACACCCAGCATTGTACGTGCACTTAACTCGAACCTAGAACGAGGAGAAGGTGATTCTGGAGGTCGGGAAGGGGTTCTTGTGTTGAGGAGGACTTTTGGGTCCATGGGTGGTGACTTACCCACCCACCCACCCACCCGGTCCAGCCGGCGGACAGCGTGGATACCGAGGCGTGATCGATTGCCGATGCGACACAATCGCTCCAGAGATGCAGGCTATTTCTGGCATCAACGAGCGCGTGGGAGTTCCAGCAGGAAAACCACAGCCTTGAAAAGGGCAGCGAAATTGCATTCATTTGGTTCAGTCTTTTTTTTTTTTACTTACAGTAAGCAATCCCTCCAACAAGAATCATGATGTACCGCAACACTGCAACGGCCATCCTGCTCGCATGTCTCGCTGTCATGGCCGGCTCGGTGAGCCTCGCTCAGGCCGCCCCCGCCGCCGCTTCGGCCGCCCCTGTCAAGCTCCTGGTCGCTTTCTACCCAGATCACTTCCCCTGTGACATTGAGCTCGGATACTATGACAAGACTCCCATCGAAATCACTTCGGGCGAGTGCCTCCAAGTCCCTGGAACCACCCAGTACTTTCAAGTCAACGACGGTGGAAGACAACAACTACGACGTCCGGGCGCAGTGCGACTCGACCTGCTCCACATGCTTGATGGGCTTGTACGGCAACCAAATGGGCAATGCCTGCTTTAGCGTCAACTTTGCCCGCGACTTTACTGCCTCCACCCGGGTCTACCTCGTCGAGTCGCCTCCGACCACCCCCGAACGCCCCAAGGTGCAGTTCTTCACCGATGCCAACTGCCAATCGGCCTCGTACTCGATCAACTTGGAGAGCGACGACGAGTTTGCCTGCGTGACCAACGCGAGCCTTCCCTATTCCTTTGGCTTTGTTCACCTTGGCAACGACAAGGTTGCTCTGCTGGGCGAGTGCAACTGTAAGCGAGAAATGAGTTGGTGTCTTGTCGTTGTCTTGTGTACTGTGTCGTGGTTGCAAATGCTGACGGACTCTCGATTTGGTTTTTTTGTTTACCTATGACAGCGAACTGCGACAACTGCGAGTTCAACGCCATTGGCAGCTTCGACGAGTGCCAAACAGCTCAAGGAAAGTACTTTATGGTTGCAAAGAAGAGCGCTGCTGGCCTTCTCCAGGTTCCCACACTGTTCGCCATGCTGTCTGCGTCCTTGGTCGCCATGTTCATGTCGAAAATGCTCTAATCGTTCGGCAACATGATGCTGCTGTTGTGAATCGCTCTGTACATTAATCCACTGTAATAACGTTTGTCCTTCATTGAACAAGTTGTAGATCTACTCAAATATGATATGAATTATGAGGAAAAAAACAACATACGAACGACAAGGTTACACAAACCAACAAAAAAATAGTACAGACAAACACAATGACAACTACAAAATACAACCAGAAACTCGACGGTTAGGGTGCGTTCAGGAGCGCTACGGGAATGCCAGACAGCTCTTGCAAGTCGGAAATGAGCTTTGGCAAGTAGTCGGTGACTTCCTGCAAAACATTCGGACGCGAAGAGTTCCGCTTGGTCGCTTTGAGGAAGTGCTCATGTGATCGTGTCAATTCCTTGGCCAGACGTTTCATGGCATGTCCAGGAGCGCACAAGACCGAGATGCGTTTTGTTCTGAGCAAAAAAATAAAAAAAATTACACAAGGCAGATGATTGGTCAGACAATCTGCAAAAATCATGACAAGCTTCATCGATACCGGATCTCACGTACCGAAGCAGGGACACCATGATGGGGTTTAAGTCGAGCAAGTCCGCCCATGTGAAGATGAGCACGGGGTAGCAATTCGGGTTGAGCTTGTTGACAACATACTGAAGCATGGCATTCTGTGCAACCGAAGAGAAGAAAACAACAACCAGATGAGTGCAGGCAAAAACACAAGGGGGCCCGGTGTTGCCAAGATTGGTGAGTGCGGTGCTGCAGGCTACCAACCTTATCCGTAAGCACTGTCACGTCCATAAAGTCAATCACTTTGAACTTCTTCTTGATCGTTGACGCCTTCTTTCCAGCTCGAACAACAGGATTGTGGAAGGGAGCAGTTGACGCACAAAGGCGATTGCCTCCCATAATCTGTTGAAAAGGAGCGGAAACGGCACGAAAAGGCGCGGTCAATACAACAACGAAGTGGTCAAATACAACGAAGCGGTGAAATACAAGGAAATCAACCACACTCACCGATGTACGAACACCAAACTGATTCCATAAGGTTTCAAGCACAAAGGAAAGGCGCATGACATTGACTTGCTCGGGAGTTGGCTCCATGTTGGGATCTTCCCACGAATAGCAAAAGCAAAAGTATTGCGGAAGGCTGCCGGGGGTGTAGCCGAGCGAAGCAGGTAGACCAGAAGGAGCCGTCGTGAGACTCATCAGGCCGGGCAGCGCAGAAGAATCGGACTCGTTGGGTGGATGGCGAAGAGTGCCAGGTAGCGAGGGCGACCGGGCCACAGGTTGACGAGCCAGGCTGTCAATCACAGCATCGTGCGAGTTGAAAAAGCGCAGCAAGGACGCGCGCACACCGCCAGCCCTTGACGAAAGAGCGTGTGGATCGATGCTGGCGATAATCTCCCACGGCAGGGCGTGGAAGGCACGCGAAGAAATGAGTGCGATATGCTGCGAGCCGGCAGAAGAGTTCGACCCAGGCAAGGACAGCGCGTGAGATGCGAGTGACGAGCCCGCGGTGCCGGTACTGGAGACGCTTCCTTGTGGAGAAGGCTTGCGCGCGCTGTCCCCATGGCGAGCCGCAGGACCAGCATCCAACAGATGGGAAGTTGGAGCTCGCGTTTCGTCGTCCAGACCAAAGGAACTCTCGCTGCAGGTTGCCAGCGCCGTTAGGAGAGGCGCCATGTTGCTGAGCACAGTGGCACGCATGCCTCGAACAATATGAAGCTGCTCGTCGAGGCTCAAGACCTCGCCTTCGATGGAAGGATGCCGCGTCACATTCAAAAGATAGTCGAGCAGCACGCACATGCGAGGAGTAAACAGGCTCGACCGGTACTTGCCGGGAGTGAGGATGGGACGCAGGCCCACGCGGGAGCGCAATCGCTCGTCCACATCGACAATGCTGGAGAGCGCACCGAACGCATGCGAGCGTGTCGCGCTGCCTGAAAACACGGGCGGAGCCTGCACCAGCTGGTTGCCAAAGCCGGCGCCACCCGAGATGGAGCCGCTTGTGCTGCCGTGGGATGTGATGAGGCTGTTGAACGTGCTCTTTCCGACAGTCGATGGGCCGGTGGTGATGGGCTCCGATGACAGGAACACGAGCAGAGGGTCGTGCGACGAGCAAAGACGCAGTACGTTTGGATCAAACAGCTGGAACAAGAGATGTTCGGAGCTGTCAAGCGACAAGTGCGCCAACGACTGGCCAGAGACGCCGTACATTTGAATGCCCTTCACAGAGCTGCCGCCCTGCCCACCTCCGCCACTTGGTGCGCTCCCGCTCGAGCCGCCGCCGAGGCCGGCGCCTCCCATCAAGCCACCGGGACCGCTGCCCAGGCTGCTGATGGACGCATGCGGCGAAGATACACCACCCGAGAACGAGGCGAGCGACTGTTCAAACATGGCAAGCAACAATTGCTGGAAGCCAGAGCCGGACGACGTCACTTCAATAATGGGCTCGACACGGGATTTGGTGATGCCAGACACGGCAAACTGCTTGAGGAAGGAGCATAGCAACTCGATGGGCGTAATGGCCGAGAGACTAATCTCAACGTTGCTCTCGGGCATGTCCAGAATGGCAAAGCGAAGGTGCAGCACCATTGTTTTGAGCGCCTGGAATGTGACGCTGTCTCGCGATGCTTGGTCTTCCACCAACGGACGGCCACCGAGACGCTGCACGGGGCGGAATCCAGCCTTGACATCGAGAGATGAGTGGCACAGCGACAGGTCATCGACGCGCAGGGCATACATTGTGCGCCGGAGGCGCGGAACTTGACCGGCAACCTCAGGCAAGGAAAGGAAGCGACGACGCTGAAGGAGCAAGGTGCCATGCCGGGGATCAGCGTCGACCGCAGCGGCAGTGGTTGTGAGCTGGGCCTCCGGACACATGGCAAGATTGATGAGCGTATGCCGGGCGACAGCTGCGCGCAGATTGTCGAGACAAACTCGGTTGTAGGTGCGCAGTTCTTGCTGTGTGATTTCGCTGGCAGAGTACTTTCGAGCGAGCCGTCGCATGTGTTGGAGGCAAGCCCAGACGTGCTGAGCGACCACGGCATCATCTTTGCAATCCACCACATCGCCAATCAAGTCGTAGCACTCTGCGCCATACAGACTGGTCGACTCGAAGAGCGTTGACGTCATCGAAATGGTATCGTCCTCGCGAGCGCCCTTGATGGTGCTTGCGACAGACGTCGTGGCCGAGGTGACGTCGCTCGACACAAATGCAGGAATGGGCATGCGACCAGGGCGGGTGGCAGCTGCCGGCGTCGTTGCTGCTGGCTCGGCCCCAGACAATGCAGTGCTCGTATTGCCATTGCTGCTGCTGCTGCTGCTGGTCATCGAGTCAAAGATTGCAGTCATTGTTGGCTTTTTCTCCAAAGTGGGCTTTGCAATCTTGATTGGAGTAGACGCGTGGTACGGCATCGCACCATCGGGCTTTTGCGACTGCGACTGGACCGATTGCTGTTGCTGTTGCTGTTGCTGTTGCTGTTGTTGTTGCTGCTGCTGCTGTTGCTGCATGGTGCTCGATGGTTGCTTGGTGAGCGGCGGGTGGCCCGAGCGGCGTGCGGGCTCGAGTGTTTTGCCTCTTGTGCGACTGAGAGTGAGCGCCAGATCGTCTTCCATTTGCGCAATCGCGTTTTGGGCATTGGCAGCCGAGGACAAGCTGTTCCCCGCACTGCCCGAGCTCATGCTGCCAGAGCTGTCGCTGCTCGAATTCTCGTTGGGATTGTTGGAAGCGCGATTGTTGCCACCAGCCGTGGCAACCTTGCCCGACTTTGCCTTGGCCGTCCTTCGGCCCTTGCCGTACGCGGTTGTGGTGGCCTCAAAGCCAGACAGCGTCGTGAGCTCGCCGTCAGCATTCCACTTGTGCGCCGCGTCGTGAGCCGCTTCAACTTGCAGGAGCAAGTCCAGCAGCACATAGTTGCGGTTGATCAAGTCCGAGCTGACGCCAAACATAAACCGCACCATGCGCTTACAAAGCGACAAAAGACGCGATGTAAGCCCTGGCGAACTCGTGGCGGGCAGCAACAGACGCACGCCGCTGTAAAACACGGACAGAAAATGGTCACGGCACTCCGTCCAGAACACGAGAGCGCCAGCCACGTTGCCCTGGAGCAGCCGGAGCTCTGCCATGGAAATCAATCCGCGCATCATGAGGAAGAGCGAATTCATCTCATTCGCCGTGTCAAGGACGGTCACGAGCGGTTGCTCGATGGCCTCCAAGGCAACCAGCTTGCGGCGGTTGGCGGCGCCAGACTGGGGCTTGGTGGCGGATTTGACCGGCGTGGATGCCGATGCGCCGCCGGATCCAGACTCGCCGATAAAGTCGCCACGAGGCAAGTTGAGCAGGCAAACGGGGGCAAAGACACGCTCAAGGTAGGTTTCGGAAATCCGACACAGTGCTTTGGCCATGTGCAGGTCATCGCCAACGGCGCGATACAGTTCAAAGGCGCGCTGGAACTGGGCCGCGGCCGCGCGAACGAGCTCTTCGGTGGATTCGAAGGACACCTTGTTCTGGAGCAGCTGCGACATGGCTGACGCTGCAGCTGTGGTTGCACTCGCCTTTTTAGCGCTGCCGGGAGTGGATGATTCGGCAGCAGGTGCTGCGGTGGATCTTCCACTGGTGACCACCGTGGGGACTGACGCGCGCCCAACGGTCGTCGAGCGAACCGAAACAGTCCTCTGGAAGCCCTTGCCGCCGGCAGCAGACTGCTGCTGATGCTGCTGCTGCTGCTGCTGCTGTTGCTGTTGTTGCTGTTGCAAAATTTGCTGTTGGTGCAGCGCCGAGGGGTTGGGATCGGTTGCCGTGTCTGCAGACTGAGGCAGACGCACGGGAAACTCGACCATTGTTGAAGATCGGCAAAGATGCTGCAAGACTTTGCCGCGCAAGTACGACACCCGCGCGAAGGCGCTCAAGTTGTTTGGATGAACATATTTGAGAGCCTGAGCACACGCCGAGATCGCCTCAGAGTGACGCTCGGCGTGGTAGTGATTGCGAGCGACCAGAAGCCAAAAGTCGAATGTGTCTTGAATCATCCTCATGTTCGAGAAGGGCAGAACGTGGAACGAGTACATGTCTGCGACACTGGCAATGTTTGCCGAGTTGCGCGCATGCCCCAGGGTGGAGTACTTTTCTCCTGCGAGACCGTGAGCGATACCAGTGCCACTGGCAGGGTTGTTGTTGTTGCTCTGTCCATCCCCTGCGGGAGGACTTGTGCCAAGCCCGTTGCCAGCCTCCGCCCCGTTGCTGGCCTCGCCAATGGTGGTCATGGCATTGGACTGCCGTCGTCGGAATTGGATGGGAATGTGCGGCAGCGACTTTGTCTTGAGATGCTTGGCAATCGCACCGATAGGCCGCAGCGTGGCGTGCTCGTCGTCACCTTCAGACGGTGCTATGATGGCGTCTTGCGGTGACGAAAAAGAAGCAGAAGAAGAAGCAGAAGAAGACGTTGGGACGAGCGAGCCGCATGACGACATGGGTTGGTGGGTGAGAAGCAAACCGGACGACTCATCCAGCCAACGCTTCTTCATGTACGCCTCGGCCAGTCGCAGCTGCAGCGTGCCGTGGCGCGCTTCGGGATGCACGTTTTCGAGCATGCGCTCCAGCAGATCAATGCCCTTTTCAATTTCAAACCCGTCGTCGACATGGAGACGAACGAGGCGCGAATTGACTGTGGCCGACATGGGATCCATGCGTGCGAGCGATGCGCTGGGTACAACGGCAGGGGCAGCCAAGTTCATGGTGGCGGGCGTGGCTTTGGCGCCAGGGAGTCCGGTGGTGTCGGAGGACGTTGGCGCATACTGCATGGGCTTGGTGCGGGTGGTCGATGGCACAAGCTGGATGGCGCGGCGCATGCATCGAACGGCTCGTGCATGCAGACCTTGCTCGCTAAACATGTTGGCCATCAGGACGGAAATGTGCACAATCTCGTTGGTCTTGCGTTCTCGCTTCATGATGGAAAGCAGATGGGAGTAGTACTCGAGTGCGCGGCGCATGTCGTGATGATCGGCCGCGACAGCAGCCAGTCGACTGAGTTGCTGACGTTCCGCTTGCTCGTTGGTCTGCATCGTGCTGAGCACAACCGACTCTTCGAGAGCGAGCACTCCGAGTTCGTACCGATCATTTGACAAGAGCAGTTCGCCAAACACGCGAAGAGCGTTGCGACCGAGACCACTGATGATGTGCGGGAAGTGCGGGAGCACGGGCCGGCACCGATCGAGCACAACGAGACACTCCATCAGCACGCGCTCGGCACGAACATTGTCGTTGAGATCGTGCCAGAAATGCACGCCCAGCGCGTACGCCGCCTTGGCCTTGATGGGCGACAGCGGCAAGCGAGCGTAAACCTCGTCGAGCAGCCGCATGCGGTACGAGGCTGACGACAAGAGCTGGGCGTCGATCGGAATGTCGGTCGCGTTGGCAGCGGCGGATTCGAGTGGGTTGAGCATTGAAATTCGACTGCGGCTGCCAAACCGGGCCCTCGCTCCGGCTCCAGCATTGCTGGACGACGAGTCTGGGCTCTCGCCGCCCGAAGGTGAACTTCCAAACAGCCCACGGGCCACTCCCGAGGAGCCGGCATTATTAGCGCCGAGTCCTGCTGGTTTTGGGGACAGGTTGACCTCAGCGTCCAGGGAATCCATATGTCGCATGCGGCGAGTGGGTTTTGGCGACGCCGTCAGCGGCGAAAAGGTCTGGAGAATGAGTTGCAAGTCCAAAAGCGCCCGCGCCTGGCAAAATAGGGGTGTACGCTCCAGCGGAGTGGTTTCCAGAGGCGGCTGAGCTGCCAGACTTGCTCGCTGATAGACTTTACAGAGCGCCGGCAATAGGCTGTTAAGTGTGTGTGTGTGTGTGGGGGGGAGGGCACAACGCAATGAGTAAAACGCGCAATAAGTGGTGCAACGACAGCAACGACAGCAACAACAACAACAACAACAAAGAACAACAACAAACGTAACCTACTGGTCGATTGACAGCGTTTGGGCTTTCCGCGCATGATGCACTTGCATTTCAACTTCGAGCAGCCGAGTGGCGTCACGGTATTGAGGCTCAATGGTCGTGAGGGTGGTGGCCATCGCAGAGAAGGTGGAAATGACGGGCTGGCCGAGAGCATCGCTTGGCACGGCTTTCGCGGCGACCGAGAGCAGGTAAAAGGCGATATGGGTCACGCCCTCTCGTTCGAAAACATTGGACGCGGTCATGGTCGCTAGTTGATCGAAAAAGCTCTTGCAGGAGAGCCAGCATTGCTCGCGATCTCCACAGCGTTCCAACTGCCGAACAGCCAGGTAGTATGCCTCCGCCCAGGGAACGGTGTGGACTTTGACTGTGCACAGAGTTTGCCGCAAGTTGCTTTGGATTTCGGTTGCGGACAGTCGCTCTCGGTGGAGGAGTTGGGCGGGGGTCGCTTCCGCCTCGCTGGAAGTGTGGTGGGCAAAGAGCAGGTGCTTTGACACGAGATGTGACAGCCAATTCATCTGCTCCTCGATTGTTTGGAAGAGCGATGTGGATGCAAACGACGTGGATGAAACTGTCGTGGTGACGCTGCCTGGAGATGACGACAGCAACCCAGAAGTACTGGCGGGCGAACCCGATGGAGATTCTGCATCTCCCAAGGACAATGAGTGCTGAAAGGTTCTCCCGAGCTTCAAGGAATACAGCTCGGTAGGAATTTGTGATGGATGCAAGGCAGGCGCTGCTGTGGGTATTGCTGTTGGGAAGATGGGTGCCGCGGAAACGGATGACTTGGAGGTGGTTGTGGTGGATGATTTGCCGGCAGCGGCGGCGGCGGTGATGGTGGTGGTAACAGAAGCAGCACCCGGTGCACCAAGGCGCAACGAGGCAGGGATAGCATCCGCACCACGCACACTGCCGGTGGGAATAGAGTTGGAGCGTGAAATGCCGCCGTTTGCTGGCTCTCTCCCCAATCGAAACGCTCTTCGAAATCCAAACTGCTCGAGCTCGTCTCGTGCATCCGAAGCGGATGTTCCAGACGAAAACCCGAGGCCGTTACTTGCACCATATCCGCTGGCGTTGGCATTGGTGGAGACGGGGGTGGAGTAACTGCCGCTGTGCGATGGCGAAGAGTTGAGGAGCAACTTCAAGCTGGGATTGCCGACCGGCGCAATGCCCAACTCTGCATCCCAATCCTCGTCCTCATCATCCGCATCGTCATCCGTGGATGGTTGAATCGTTGCAGGTTTCTTTGGCGTCACAGGACCTGCAGCTACAGGCGCGGTTGGTGCAATACTAGTCGTAGAATTTGTTCCTGAGGGTTTGTCTGCTGATGCGACCGCTTTGCGAGCCGCCGTCGGTGACGATTCTTGGGAGGATGAAGACCCTGCAGAGGAAGGAATGCGCCTTGGTAGCCGCTTTGTCACAAACGATGGTGATGTTCGTCCAGACGAGCTGCCGGACGTTGCTGATGATGAGGAAGTGCTCTGAGGTTTGGCCGCGAAAGAGACCGATTTGCCACCTCCTGCTGCCGCACTACTATTAGCATTCTTGAGCTCCTTGAGGAACTTTTGAGCATCTGGTGTTTGTGTCGGTTGGTGATGGCAACACGAAAAGACAAAAAAAAAAAAAGAAAGAAAGTGTGAGTTGCTGCACGATCATGGAGGTTGGTTGTCGATGAATCGGGGGAGTTGCTCACCTTCTTCGTCGTCCGTGTTCTCGCCCCAATCAATCTCGTCGACGTTAAAACCTTCGGGGAGTTGCTCGGCATCGACGGACGGCACTTCGTTCTTGACACGGACGTGGTTGACGGCGGCGCTGCGGACGACACTGAGCGTGCGGTGGAACTTTGCAGTCTCCTGCGAGGTCATGCTGAATGCGTCGTCGTCGTCGTCAAACTCGTCGTCCCAATCCTCAATCACGCCTGCAGGAGCTGCTCCCGGGTTGGGGCTGCTGCGCGCTGCGGTTGAGGCATCGCCTAGCTGGCTTGAACTGGCTGCCGTTGTCGCTGCTCCTGCTCCTGCTCCTGCTCCTGCTCCTCCCGCCGCGGGTCTCCGCAGCGTAAGTGTGAGTGTAGATGGCTTTGCAGCATTGTCTCCACTGCTGCCGTCGCTGAGGTCAAAGCCAAACTCGTCGTCGTCGTCCTCGTCATTCTCATCGCTGCTTCGCGGCGGCATCTTGCTTGCGTTTGTCGGCTGATGACGGGCGGGGGGCCACTCAGCGCGCGCGCTCGTCTTCTGTACTGTTGGTCTTGTGTGTATCTCTCGAGTGGCGGGAGAAGTGGGTTGTCGGAGGGAAACTCCAGCGACGAAGAGACGACCTTGAATTCAAAAAAAAAAAAAAAATGAAAAAATTCAACACATAAAAATGCAATGCAAAACCAGCAAAACCAAAAAAAAAAAAAAAAAAAATATGAGCGGTGTTTGTTTGGCTTTGTTGTGTGCGCCGTCAAAAGCGTAGTCGTGTTGTGGTGTGCTGGATGAACGCACGCAAGTTGCTGATGATGAGAAACAAGAGCGAAAGGGAGGAGGGGTGAAGGTGAAGCGGGAACTTCCAAAAAAAAAAAAAAGAATCCAGCAAACTCGGCTGCGAATAGTACACGGCTCGTTGGCCAAGGCAAGCAGAGCCCGCAACGAGAAAGGGGGCGGGGATGGACGAGATGGAGACACGTGGGCCGAACAAAACGAGAAAAGCGGCTGCTGCGATGGTCTGGGAAGGCGTTCAATGAGAAGAAGCTGCGGCGTAGAATTACCTGACTTGGAAACTGACTGACTGAACCAGAACTGAGAAAAAAATCAATGGCGGGAATGATGATGATGATGATGATGATGATAATAATAATAATAATAGTAATATGATGCGACAAGGTGCTCGTGCGTTTGTATTGGTTGTGTGCATGTCACCCGAGCATTCGGACTGGGGAATGCGAATGACATGTCCTCGAGTCTAGACCTTTGAACAAGAACCCTGCGTTTGCAATGGTGGCTCCAAGTCAACGCATATCAGAAATAGCAGCTCTGCGCGAAGAGCTTGGGCGATCGCGAGGGATTGAAAACCTCGTCGAAAAAATGTGCCAAACACTCTCTGAACCTGCTTTTTTCCTGCAGTTGAAGCTCGACCGAATCGCAAAGTTTGCTCCACGTCAATGCCAAAATAGTAACCCGGTTGTTGGCACTCTTGTTGTTGCACTTTTCACAACATGCACCGTTTAATCTCCGTGATTGCGTTGGTTTGCGCGTTGTTTGCGGGTGTGAGCTTTGGGGCCTCGACAACGCCCGTAACATGGGGTCCGAGTCCCATCAACACGGTCGCGCTGTCCACCGGCGACTCGCTCCAGTTCACAGTGGGCGCTGGCCATACTTTGGTGCGGCAACAAAGCTGCAGCTCGGCGCCATGCTGCACGTTTGGCGCCGGTGACACGATGATTGCCGGCTCCGGAGGCGCCGCCACGCAGACCTTCTCGGCTGCTGGCACGTATTACTATGTAAGTTGATGGCCATTGAATGGTTGCTGTCGCAGCCTCAAGCAAGCAGAGAAAGGCGGACTTGAGCAACGACATGTCGACATTCCAATCAGGTCGACGTGTGAAGTCCGTTGTTTTTGCTGTTTTTGTTTTTTTGTTTGTTTGTTTTGTGGGCTTTGTGGGTTTTGTTGGCTTCGAGTGAAGAGCAGACGAGACGCACCCACACATACACCCACACATACACACAGCATGCAGCGATCGCTGAAGTGGGCGGAGGTTTGGAGGCGCTGCTGGTGCGGTGTGGAAGTGTGAAGGTTGGATTGGAAAAAACAAAGATCAAAACAGGAAATGTCCCAACATGGGTGACTCATTGTGGTTTTCGTGTCGTATGCGCCCATCTTTGTTTCAAATCAATGTGGTTTTGGTTTGGAGTCAAAACGTGCAGTGATGAGTGGCAAACCAAAAAAGACCGCCTGTTCAATCTGATGGTCGATGAAAAACAGACAACGGTAGTGGGTGGCATTGTTTCTGAGTTTGTGGAGCTTCAAATTGTTCTCCCGTTGCTGTTGTTGTTGTTGTTGTTGGTCTTTGGGTGGCTTTGTTACTCGTGCCGCTCGGATGTGAATGAATCTACTTGGGTGAAGCAGATTCCTGACAAAAAACAAAACATGTTGACAAATTTTTTGGGTTTTGTTTTTGTTGTTGATAGGCGTGCAATATTGGAGCGCACTGCTCGAGTTTGAGCATGCACCTGCAAGTGGTTGTCACCGATGCAGTTTCTACCACACCTGCAGTGTCTACCACAGCAGCCACGACTGGCGGTTCAGTTTCGGTTGAGGTCTCCACCACCAGTGCGGTTTCAGTTGACGTCTCGACCACACCCGTCTCGCTCTCCACGACGGCGACGTCAACTGCTGTCAGCCCAACTCACAGTCGCACGAACAATGGCAACCGTATTTGCATCTCGCCTCTGCTTCTCGGGGTCGGCATTCTTGCGGGCGTCGCGAGATGTGGCTGAACTTCCGTGTTGAGTGATTTGTTCTGTTGTTTGAGAATCATCAACAAAACCTCTTTGTGCGCATTCATAGCTGTACTGGTTGACTCGCGTACTGCACTACATCGCAATACAATTACAAAATGCTGAGAACCCTAAACTCTGAGAAAATCGTCCAGTCTTGTTCTGATTTACAAACACTGCTGCGCACAATACAATGCTCGATCGCCGACGCGTCCAACGGTCCACGTCGCCATCATCACGGACGCCATCGTTATTCATGCCAAGTGGCGGCGCAGTTAGGCGCTGCATGATGGCGACCTTGCTCCTGGCCGTCGTGCTGCTTGTGCTTGCCAGCTCAGCGAGCGCAGCCACCGAGCCAAAGCCGAAAGGCGCACCCGCCCGCCTGCGCACGCCGGACGAGTGGAGCAAGCTGTCGGACAAGGACTTGGATCGCATTGCCGACCAGATGGCCGAGGACGACTACGACGAGGAGGACGCGCGCGACCCGCGCCATCCACGCACCCGCCGCGCGCGCAGGGAAGCCGAGGAGCAGCAGCGCGCCCAAGCTCAAGCTCAACAAGACGTTGCTCCTCCGACACAGGAGGAAATCGAGGCCGCGATGCGTGCTGCGGGTCCCGGGATGGCCTCGCGCGTGCAGGACGTCGAAACGGAGCAGATTCTGCGCCAGAGCAAGAAGAACCAGGCCGTGATGGTCGCAGTCAGGACGGTGGGCCCGCAGACCACCCGCGAAATGGACGATCTCATGGCCCGCTGGCAACTGTCGCTGAAGAACGCGCACATTGACTCGCAGCGCTACACAATCAAGGTCGGCCACGGCGTTCTGATGATTCTCGACGGATACCACGCTTGGGACGCCCGAGATTACCTCGTCCAGCAACCCGAGCTCGACGAGTGCTCGTTTGAGTCTCGGCAATACAAGGGGGTTCGCCATGGCGACGACAGCTTTGTGCACCAGCGCAAACTGCAGCAGCAACAGCACCGACAGGCACAAGCTGCCGCCAAGTCCAAGTCTGAGGCGCGTCGCAAGGCCCGGCGTCAGGCTGCGCACGGCGAGCTATGACCGGCGTTTTTGTTTTTTGACTTTTGTTTGTTTGGCTTTTGTTTGGATCTATGTGTGTGTGTACTGTGTATGCCGCTCCAAGACGCCAAGTTGTTTGTCTATAAATCTTGTACAACTTTCACAGCGAGATCCAGCACCGCAGCTACAGCAAGTTTTGCTTTCACATAAACAAACAAAAAAAAAGCCTCTGTCGTTTCAGTCTTCTGCAATCGTCGGCCATGCCTTCTGTCCTTGACGGCATCGGGGACGAGGGCGGTGACGGGGCAAAGGGTGCAGCGCCGCCGCTGGTCGCTCTGCGCCCGTTGTACATCAGCTCGACCTTTTCCGAACTGGCAGCACGGCCGTGCGCCATCGACTACACCCCGGGCAAGGGCGGCGCTGGAGCGGAGGACCGCGTCGCTCGAATGGCCCACAAAATGTACACTGAAGCGCTGAGCGTGATGACGTTCGACCATGAGCGCGCATATGTGCTCTTCCTCCACAGCGCCGAGCTGGGAGTCAAGCTGCGTGCCGGCCACAAGGTGTCCAAGGACGAAGCGGCGCGGCTGGCCAAGCTCGTCACCAACGCAATGACAGCGGCAGAGACGCTCAAAGACCGCCTCAAAGCGCGCTACGAGCACGAAGCCCAGCGCGCCAAGCAACGCGAACGGGAGCACCAGCTGCAGCTGCAGTCGCAGGAAGCCAGCAAGCACAACCCTGCGGGTGCGCAAGGGCCAGCGTCCGCGTCAGCCTCCGCCCACAGCCAAAGTGACTCTCCCGCCGCTCAATTGGCAGCGTCCAATCTGACCGAGCAAGACGCGTCTGGGACACGGAGCCACGACCATGCGGCAGAGGGTAGCTATGGCAATGACACTGTCGGTGCAGATGGCATTGCCGATGCAACAGCGTCGTCGGTAGGTTCGCAGTGGTCGGCGGGCGCAAGCCTGTCGTCATCACTCCCGTCCGACTGGTCGCCGGCGCATAGCCCTGGGCCAGGTGCTGCTGGCTCTCCTCGGCAGCATCCTTCGGCGGGCAGCCCAGTTCCGAGCAAACAGAACGCAGCCGCCGCCGGTGGTGGTGGTGGTGGTGGTGCGAATCATGGGAAGGGAGCAGCGGCGCAGCCAAAGCAGCGAACCATCTCAGCGTCGGAGGTGTTTCTGAGCGACCAGAAAACAAAATCCACGCCCTTCTTGCAACCCATGCCAGTCTCGACAGATGCACTCGCCAATTGGTCGGTGTTTGAGGACGCCGGATTGAGCAGCAATGACGCTGCAAGCTCCATTGTCGCGTCCTCATCCACGTCGTCGCTGACATCGATCGGATCGCTCCTGCACGGCCCGTATGACCACTTAGGGCTCATTACGCCACAGGAATTCTTCCAAATGATGAATAGCAAGCTACCCAACCACCTGGCAGTCCTCGACATGCGCAGCGCCTCGGAAATTGCGTCGTGCGCGTTGCGTTGGCGCGACGCTGCCACACTTCCGCCACAGCTCCTCAAGGCCAACACATCCATTGGCGACCTTATTCCGTCTTTACCACGAGCCTGTGCTGAGCTTCTCTCCCGGCGGACCGAATTTGAGCATGTTGTGGTTGTCACTGCGTATGGGTAAGGCGAGCGTTTTGTTGTTGTTGTTGTTGTTGTTGTTGCTGCTGTTGTGATCGGTCGTTTCGCTGGTTGCTTCGTCCTCTTACTCGCAAGACCATTTCACAAACGATGAACAGCAATGCGACCGACCTGCAACTGGAAGAGGCGCCCGTCCGCATTCTGTTTGATAGTATTTATAAATGGGACTTTTCCTCCTCTCCTGCCCTGAAAAACCATCTGCGCTACCTGAGTGGAGGCATCTCGACGTGGCAGACCCTCTACCCGGCGCTGTGTATCACGCAATCGCCTTTGGCCAAACACACGCTGTCGAGCAGCCTGCCGGCCCACTTTGGTCAAACGGCCATCTCGTATCCATCCTTGATGACGCAGGATCAACGCACGCTGTTGGGGGAGGCGGGCATTCCGCTCCCACCCGCGTCCGCGGCAGATCGGCAGCTTGTGGCCTACCCCGAAGTACCTCGGAGTGCACTGCTGGAAGAATTGGACAGACAGGCAGAGCTTGCTCGCAAGGCCGCCATCCGCGCTCAAAAGGAGCAAGAGGAGATCGCGCAGCGTACCATGCAGGCCGAGCTCGAGGTCAACGCGCGCGAGGCCGCCAAGCGTGCTGCCGCCGAGGCCGCACGCGTGGCCGTCGAAGCGGATCGTGTGGCGCGGATTGCTGAACAACAAGCTCGCAAGCAACGTCAATTGGAACAAGAGCAGGAGGAATTGCGAAGACAAGCGGCCGCTGCACAAGAAGAAGATGAAGCGCGGCTGGCGGCGCAGCAGCAAGCGGCCGCAGCAGCAGCTGCAGCAGCGGCATCGGCTACTGCTCCCCCTGGAGACTCCCTCGATCGCACGACCAAGCCGCCCCGGGCTGTGTTCTCAAAATTGCCCCCCGCAGGTGGCGATGCCAATGCCTTTTCAGTCCAACCTGCAGCCCCGCCGTTGGCACACTCTGCCGTGGCAGCGGCCGCAGGAGCAACCACTGCCACCACCGTCATTCCAGTCATCAACCCGGAGGAGCGTGCTGCCAAACCGTCGCTTACTTCACTCTCTCCACCCCTACAGCCACCACCACCCCCAACGCGCGCCTCCGCGCCACCAGAGGCAAACCTGTCTGCACCCAAACCAAAATTCGACCAAAGCGTCAATCGCCAAATTGCCACGCCATCCCAACCACAGCCCATCCCTCGCGGTCGCCGCAAGTCGTTCGATGGAGCTCTTCCCGGACAGTCACCCTCGTCAGATATGATTGGCACGAGTCCTTCCTTCCAGCAGCAGACGGCTGGTCGGTCACCAAGCACACGCTCTGGCACGAGCCCATCCGCCTCTGTGATGTACGGCTCGCCTTCTGCGGCACCTGTGCAATCTTCGGCGTACGGCGGAGTAGGGGACGGCTTGACGGGCTTGCGCAATCTGGGCAACACGTGCTTTATGAACTCAATGCTGCAGTGCCTCAGCCACACCATGCCTGTGACCGCCTACTTTATCAGCAACAAATTCCGACAAGACGTCAACCGCTACAACCGTCTTGGGCGTGGAGGCATTCTGGCGGAAAGCTTTTCAGAGCTTTTGCGCAATCTCTGGCTGCAGCGCTTTCGATGCTTCTCGCCTTCCGACTTTCTCGGTGCTGTGTGCCGATTTGGTCCGCAGTTTGCGGGTGGCGAGCAGCACGACTCGCAAGAGCTGCTTGCCTTCCTTCTGGATGGCCTTCACGAAGACCTCAATACAAAAGGCCTGACCAAGAACAACCAGCAGCTCATCACGCAGAGCGATGGCACGCGTGCGCTTGTTGCGGCCTTGCCAAACCGAGACCAACAGGAAGAGGAGGACGAGGCTCGACGCAACATGCCGGTTGAGCTCCGTGCCGAGCGCGCCTGGCAGCGATACAAGCAACGGAACGACTCGGTCATTGTCGACATGTTCCAAGGATTGTTCAAGTCTTCCATTCAATGCGACGTTTGCCGCCACGCGTCCATCACATTCAGCCCCTTTATGTTCCTTTCGCTTCCGATTCCCTTGGACAAGACCCACCCGACCTTGGCGGATTGCATTGAGTTGTTTACTCGAAGCGAGCGCATCGACGGCGAAAACCAATGGTTTTGCGAGCGCTGTCGGCAGCATCGAAGTGCCGTGAAATCGCTCCAATTGTGGAAGCTCCCGCCCGTGCTCCTCATCCACTTCAAGCGTTTTTATTACGACGGCCCATGGCGGGACAAGCTGCATCACTATGTTGAATTTCCTCTCGAGTAAGAACAGGCAGTGGTGGTGGTGGTGGGGTGGTGGTGTTCAAGAGCTTGTTGGTTTTGTTACCAGTGTTGTTGGAATCGGTTGGAGTCATGCTCCTGCTGGGGCGGTCCATTTGCTCAACCTTTGATTGGTGTTGCTCTCTTTGCAGTAATCTGGACATGAACCCGCACGTCATTCACTCGGCTCGACGGCCCTCTACAGATGCGCGCATTCCAATTGCTCCGTACCATTTGTATGCCGTTTCGGTATGCACAGTGTTCGTGGCTGTGTTTGAGTTGCGCTGCTTTCCTTGTTTCAATTGATTGAGGCGATGCGAAAACAAACTGATTGCCGCGTCCTTGATTGTGGTTTCCAGCTGCCTCCTTATTGTACACTCATTTGTCTCATTTGTCTGATTTGTCTCATTTGTCGCGCTCTCCTTGAAACCAGAACCATGAAGGGACGATGGAAGGCGGACATTGTAAGCCCCAATTTATCCCCTACTCCCTTTTCCATACACAGACACAATCCGATCCGGATGCATTCCTTCGGATGCAAATGGATGCATTGATTTGCTTGTTGCCAACAGAATGTGGCCTGATTTTTGAAACGTCGTTCGCCGATCGCGGTTCAGGCCGTTTTCGCACTCACTTCCGTTTATTACTTCTTTGCTCTCGCAGATATTGCCTCCTGTCGCAATCCAATATCCCGCCAGTGGTATCAATTTGATGACAGCGTCGTTCGCCGTCTCACTACGTCGGTCAAGGTGGGTAAATTTGGATGTTCACATTTCGATGCGAATTCGATTCGCAATTTCGACTTTGTTTTTCCTTCTTTTGGTTTGTTTTGTACTTTTTATTTTTTTATCTTTTTGGCAAATTGATGTTTGGCCCGTTGCCTCGGCCATTCTGTGCCCCTTCTTTCGAGCCGCCATGGACGTAGTCGATGGTTGGAAGACACTGGACTTGAATGAAGAGTTGGAGTGAGCGCTGCGAATGACGAATTTTTTTATTGATTATTTTTGTTGTTGTACTTTTTTTTTTTTTGGTTTTGTTTTGTTTATGACTCGCATTCTTGTGGGCTGGCCTCATGATCTTGTTCTCACCTTGTAGACTCGAGCGGCGTATGTGCTCTTCTACACGAATCTGGACTTTGACAAGTACGTGCACCGGCACTTGTTCGAGCCCTCAGCCGAATAACCGATTGAGAGCAACTGCGTGGATTGTTGATTGTTTATTGGTTGGCGCTGTGGACAATTTTAGCACCATTGAAGTGATATTCTTTGTCAATCTGCAGTGCATCCTTTTCATTACGATGCCATGGTGACTGTTCGTCGGGTTGTGTTTGTGTTTGTGTTTGTTTTCTCCGATTCATTTCGCACCTTGTTTTTGACAAGACGCGACGTGCCCTCGCCTTCCCTTCGCCATACCGCCTGCGTCTTGCTTCTTTGGGTGGCATGACGCACACTGCGATCGTTTGCCGAAACACAGTGAAGGGTTTTCGCGTTGGAAAGACTTCAGTAAAGCCGGAGGTGTGAGCAACTGTTGGTAGATCTCGATTCTTTTCGGCCTTCCGGAGATTTTGCTTTGCCTTTTTCATCTGGCCCGGGCAATGCAGATGGGCGCCTTCTGGTTTTACTTTGATGGACAAGACTACAGCTCGGCCACGATCCACAAGGATTCAGATGGCCCAAAATGAATCAAATGAATGGATCACTCATTCTTTTTTTTTTTTCTTCTTTTTTTTTCCTGATTTTTTTTTCAACTTCTCGTAGGCTGTGTGCGCAAGTCTGCCCTTGCTGTTGGACTGTGCTGCTCCTCCCATCGGTAAGGCGCGTTTGCGCATGTTTTCGTACACCTCGTGTTGCGGTGTGAAGAAGCGATGCAAGGACCGCATGTGTCGCCTTGTGACGGCTCGGGGGCTTGGGTCTCGTTCTGTCATATGCTGATGCTTTCCCCCCCCCACCTCGCTTTGGGGCTTCGCGGCTGGTGTTTGAGTATGGATCGATGATGCGGCTCTTCATCCGACAGCCCTGAGCTTCGTGCCGCCTAGCAGTTCGAGGGATGCGGACAGACGTGTGTCAATGACGTTTGGCTGTTTTTGGTTTTCTACTTTTTTTTTCGCTTCCTTGCTGGGTGCTCTCTCGCTTCCAGTGCATGATAGTGATTCGATCATGGCCGTATCGCTCCTTTGCTGGTGTGATCGCTGTGGTGCTTGCTTGGGGAAGGCAGCAAGCCGAGCAACAGCCGCCAAACCCCAAATAAAGGGATTGCCGCTGCTTTTTTTTTTTTTTTTTTTTTTTTTTTTTTTTTTTTTGAGAACAGAGACATCAAAACAAATCTGCCGTCACCTCGTTTCGCGATGATCTCTGGTGTTGACTAATGAAGGTTGAAGGGTCGAATTTTTCAATTGTCCTGCATTACGCCATCTACACCTGTTTGCTGTTGGAGCTTGCCTCGAATTTCCCCGAGTTCCAAGTCGGCGTGTGTGGGGTGGAATGGAGGATCCGGCGTGAATTGAACTGGCGACTTTTTTATTCGCGGTTTGCCTTTGCTAAGACACTCTCTCCCAAAAACAATCTCATCGTTAAGATGTTGAATTCGGCGAGCGATGGTTGCGTGTTGCTATTGGTTGTGATGTGTCATATCGAGAAGCGGGGGGGGCGGGATGTGTGTTTCTGATATTTTTTTACTTTAACTTTTGCTTTGACACTTTTTTTTTGTATTATTTTGGACGTGTGTTGGCGTTGATCTGCGCTGACAGTTTTCGCGGCTTTTTTTTTTCTCCCTCTCTCCCTCTCTCCCTCTCTTTTTCTCTCTTGTTTGAATGCTGTCAACGAGGCGCTGCTGTCTTTCTATTGAACGCGGATGAGCTCGGGCTCCTTTTCTTTGCTTCAATTCGTTTTTCTACTTTGTATCGCGCTACGCATGTACCCTTCAAATCATTGGCATTCCTCGGGCGCATTTCTTCGCTGCATATTGCTGCTTCACCAGTCATTTTTCTTGATCGAGTCAACCAGTTGTAAAGCGAACCCAACCAAAACAACATTTGATGGGCGTTCCTCAATTCCCCAAACACACACACACACACACACACACTCGTTTCGCTTTGCCCACCTCCGCCGATCTACCTAGAGATTCTCTTGGGTAAAAGCGCTCGCTGATACGTGCAATGCGCATCGGCAACGCTGCGGGCTGGCGGTCTGTCTGGACGTCAAAATTTGAATGCGGATTCGATCGATCCCGAACATTCCTTCCCCCCCCCACACACACACACAAACGCCTTCCTTGCAGAAGATCAACCAGCATGTGGCGCACGTCATCGTGGAAGCTCGTCACGAGTGGATGCTGCGTGCGGGGACGCCCGTTGGAGTCTGCAATGCTCCCAAGCTTGTCAAACTGATTAGTCCCGAAACGCCAGTTGTCACACTTTCGGGGTTTTTCTTCAAGCATTATTTTGTATTTTCTTTTTTTTTTTTGCCGCCCCGCCCCCCCCCCCGCTCTCTACACCGCCAAATCCATCTTTACTTTTGAGAGTGGCAATGAGAGGGTGGGTTGTCCTTCCTTGTTTGCACGAACGTCGTGTGGGTGGTCGTCCCACACATGTTTTGCTCTGTGTCATGCAGATTTGGATGCGTTTTCCTCCCATTCTGCATTTTTTTTTTTTTCGTCGATCGATTCCGCTCAGATCGATTGTTTGGTACAGAATTTGGTTTTTTGATACATCATCGCGGCTTTATTTTGATTTTATCTTCATCATCATCATCATCATCATCATCATCATCTTCTTCTTCTTCTTCTTCTTCTTCTTCTTCTTCAACATTTGCTTGTGTGACCATCTACTTGTTCGTTGTGCGAAGAAAACTCACGCTTCGGTGTGACACTCTTGGGTGTGTTCGCACTTTTTGGTACTGATTGTGACAGACTTTTTCAAACTTTTGCCAATTCGGGTCATATCGAACGTTTCTCGAAGCCGCCCGCTCCTCCCGCTAGCACTCTTCCTGTACCGCACAAAGTCCTTCGCAATACGCACCCCCCAAAAATTTCATGATGGCAAGCTCCAACTTTGCCCCCGCGATGCAGACTGTTTTGGTGGACACGCCGCCACAGCAAGGCCAAAGCCGATCTGTTCTGCTGCAACCGGCGAGTGCCGTGTCGGCCAGTGCGTCGCCCACACAACTGAAAAACAGGCGATGCTTGCGAGTGGATCCGATAGCTGCTGCGCGCCGCGGCGAGGCGTCTGCATCGAGCGCGACCGCTGGCACACCCACCGGCTCTCTTGCGCGCACACGGCGTCGCGTTGTCATGGAGGACCCCGATGATCATAGCAATCCGGCGTCTCCCGTTAGTCCAGTTACTGCAAATGGCACTTTCGCCGACTTGGGGCAACCAGATTCCAGCGTGACTGCCCCTGAGCTGCAGCAACACCAACAGCAACAGCCCGAACACCTCGAGCACCTCGACCAACTAGACGCCCAACCAAGCCAATTGCACGAGCAACCACCACCACCACCACAACAACAACAACCATGCTCGCCGCAACAAGAACTTGCAATGACGGTTTGCGATGGCAGCTCGGCCACACGAGTTCGGGTTGGGTCTGTCGTTCTAGAGGAGGAAGTCCCCAACCAGGCGCGCGACTATCCATCCACGCGCTGTGTGGGCTACTGGGCAGCCGACCCCGACTACCATGTTCTGATCAGAATTATTCCCAAGGCAACGGCGCCCGTCGCAAAGCTCGCCAGCGAAGTTGCCGTGTCGCTGCAACTCGCGGACGTTCCTGGCGTGGTGCATCTTGTTGACTGCTTTGAAGATGCCGACAACCACTATTTGGTGCAAGAACACTGCCCCGACCCCCGCGCAACAAGCTTGCTCGACTTTGTCATGCAAAACGGCCGTCTGCACGAGTGGGTTGCGCTCGAGCTGTTTGAGCGCATTCTCCAGACGGTTTCAGACGTGCACGAGCGTGGAGTCGCGCTGTGCAACCTCTCGCTCGACGCCTTTGTTTTGGTGCCAGAACAGTGGGATCCCGAGCAGCCCTGGCTTTCAAGTGCCGACGCTCAACCGATCTCCCATCCCAAAATGGGCCCCGACCATCGACCAACCGTGGGCCTGCGTCCCATCTTCCACGACCTTTGCGCGGCAATGCTGGCTCAACCCGACACCCTCCTGTGCGAGCCGTTTGGTGCCGCCGCGTACATGAGCCCGGACATTTTCGCCTGCCGCCCATACAGCCCGATGGCAAGCGACGCATGGGCTCTTGGCGTCATCCTGTTTGCGCTGGTCACCGGAGGCTTCCCTTTCAATTCCGCCGTCCCGCCCATGCTCGTCAATGACGCTCGCCGAGGCCATTTTTCAACCATCAACGGCTTGTCTGCTGGTGTCCAGCACCTCGTGCACGCTCTGCTCAACCCGGTTGCCGCTCGCCGTGCAACTGTTGCTGAAGCGCTTGCGATGGTCCAAGAACTGCGGCAGACTTGCTTCATCATGCAGCAGTCTCACGGTGCTCTCTACCAACTCAACGGCGCCAGCATGCCGGGCAGCAGTGTGCTTTCTTCCGCTTTTGTGCGTTCGGGCGTTACAACAGCCTGTTGGTAACAAGCGCTACCCTCTCCCACCCATCCACTCTGTGCTATCTTTGTGTAGTAGTCCTCCGATTTCGATTTCCTCCATTGTTATTTCTTCTTCTTCTCCTCCTCCTCCTCCTCCTCTCTCGTGCTTTCGCTTGTTATTGCCTATCCCCCCCCCCCTTCCTCGTTTTTCAGTTTGTTAGTGAAACTTTCGATCGTGAAACCTTTTCGTTGTGAATAAAAATCCAAAAGGTTTGAAGTTGAAGTTTCAACCCGCCAATCCGACCCAGACGTCGATTTCTGTTGACTTCAAACGAACTCGGCAAAATAGGATACGTTTGCCATTGAATATTGAATGCAACAACAAGGCTCACTTCTCGTTCTTTGCTGGTTGAAGAATGAAGCACCGCGTTGGCTCGGTCGGCAAAGGCAAAGGAGCGTCGTCAGCTGCTGCTGCTGCTGCTGCTCGCTCGAGCGCCCGTGCCTCGCCGCTGGATGTGGCCAAGGACCAGTTCCTTGAGATTCTCGCAGGGCTGTCCACTGCGGGCGGCGCGGACTCGGACGACAGCAACGAGCTGCTCCTCGCGTTTGAGGACTTTGCCACAGACACGCTCAACGGAATGCTCCACGCTGACGACCACGATGGCGATGATGATGCTGACAATGACGACGACGATGACGACGACGACGACGAGGAAGATGCCGAGGCCCAAGACAAGGCCAGCACAATCGCTCCGTACGTGAAACAAAACGTTACTGAAAAGAAAAAAAAAAAAAAAAAGGCAAAAGATTCATTGTTTCAGTCCTTTCAATTCGCAACAGATGATCCTTTTCATACTGGACGTCAACAGCGTCAAAATTTGTGATGCTGTGGTCTGACTCATTTTTGTGTGATGTTGTCGGGTTTTGTGTGCGTTTTGCTTGCGTCTTTGCTTGCTTTTTGTTTTTGCGCAGGGGAAATCCGCGCCACGCCCGACGCATGCTGCGAACAATTGCGGGCGAACTGCGCGAGCGCGTGCCGTTCGAGGCGCAGGCTCCCGGCGAAAAGATTGTCTTCCCTCAGAAGGGCGAGTTTGCAGGCTGTGACGCGTCCAACTCGGTGCACGTCGACGCCTTCCTGTACGACGATGATGCCGTCGACCAGCTTGTCGATGCCGGCAAACTCTCGCGCTCGTACTGCACAAAGTGCGGCTCGCAAGACACGCGAGAGCTGACTTTTGTGTCGCACTCAATTTCGCATTCGCAGGCACGCTTCATCTTTCGAGATGCTTTGCCGCCGCTCGACTCGAGCACCACCGTTGTCGATGTCGGCTCGCGCCTCGGCGCGCTGCTGTATGCCGGCTACCTGTACTGCCCGAGCGCGCGCTTTGTTGGTGTGGAGATGAGCGACTACTTTTGCAAGCTGCAAGAGGAGATTATTGCCAAGCATTCCTTTGGCGATCGCATCAACATTGTCTGTGCCGACGTCCGAAGCCAGGGCGAGCTGCTCAAAAAGGCCGACGTCGTGCTGCTCAACAACGTCTTCCAGTTCTTTGTGGACGAAGCCGGGCAGCAGGCCATCTGGCGTTTCCTGCGCGAGTCCATTCGCAAGAAGGGCGCGCTCGTCATCTCCGTTCCCTCCCTTCAAGAGGCTTTGGAGCAGGCCGGCTTGGCTGGCGACAAGATTCTGGATGGCTGGCTCGAAAAGGTCGAGCTTGCCTATCCTCTCAACGACGATGGCGATCCAGATGAAGAGAGCGATGCGCTGAACGTGCACATGTACACCGTGTTGTAAAAAAAAAAAAAAAAAAAAATGTGGTGGTTGTTGTTGTTGTTGGCAAAAAGAAATGAACGTGTTTCAAGTGCCATTTTCTTTTACATGTCTTACATGTTCTCAGTCTTCGCTTTTGTGTATGAGCGATTGACCGCGCACAAAGCATGTTGTTGTTGACAGAGCTGCTTGTCGCCGTTGCCTGCGTTCTGGCGTGTTTGCTACTGTACGTGCGTCAGAGGCCGCCTCGCCGCCCACCAAGCCCGACCGACGCTGCTCCGAAAGCGAAAGCGGCTGCGCTCTTGTCGCCCGTAGCAGCGACCCAGCAGCAGCAGCAGCAGCGCCGGCCTGCAGCCTCAAGCAGCCCAAGCACGAGCGAGCAGCCCAATCTGGAACAAAAGCCCGCTCCTCCTCCTCCATCCGCGCCACCGCGCGTGTCGGGCGGCTACTGGTACTTTGGCCATGCATTCGCACTGGCATTCAATCCCGTGGCGTTCTGGCAGGCGTGCCGTGAGGAGGTTTGTCGAGTCTTCTGCGTTGCTGATTTTTGATCTGCAGCAAATTTTCACTCACTGGTGGTGTTTTGTCTACAACCTCACACAGTATGGACCGGTGTTCTCATGCACAGTGATGGGCAAACCATACACCTTCCTGTCGGACGACGACGGCCCGCGGTTCTTCTTGAACGTGCCGCCAAGCAGTTTGGCACCCGCCACGCTTTCGGATGATCCGGCGCGGAGCTTCTTCCCAGCCTACTTTTTCGCGGCGGCCACATCCGAAGCACGCGATTGGATGCACACGGCGTTGGCCGAGTACTCACGGCGCCCGACATTTCCGGCGGTGGTGCAAGAGTGCGTTGAGGGCTTGGACGAATTCTGGGACAAGATGGGCTCCCACGGCGAGCTCCGGTTGTTTGACACGATGGAAGAAGCTGCGTTTCGAGTGGCAACCATTGCATACGGTGGCCGCGAGCTCCAGGGAGAGTTCTTCCACGAGTGGAAGTCGTACTTTGTCGACACGGACCTTCAGTCTGGCTTCCTGACTGGCAAGACGCAAATGTTTGATCCACGTCTCTGGTGGCGCAGGTCGATGGTTTTCAACGGGCTCGAGCGGCTTCTTGAGAGGGTGAGTAGGAGACGAGAGAAGTATGTGGCGAGCTGCAATGTCGTCGCTCAATCTGAACGTCCACGCATTGTCACGCATTCATTTTCCCCCATGAACCGTCGTCTAGATTGTTGAGCGACGACTTCTTGAAGGCGGTGACCTCGGTGGAGACTACATTGCCTTGCTGATACGGCAAGCACAGCACGAAAGTCAAAGTGCCGACTCGGTCGCCTCGACTGTGCCACAACGCGTTTTGGCGCGCCTGTTTATGACCGTCTCGGATGCGTTTATGAATGCGTATATTCATGCCGCGTGGACGTTGGTGCATGTCTTGTCCACGCCCGCGCTCACGTAAGTTTCTTTTTTTTTCTTCTTCTTTTTTTTGTTTGTTTTGTTTTGTTTTGTTTGTTTGTTTGTTTGTTTTTCTTCGTTGTTGTTGATGTTCAAACCCGTCACGGTCAAAACAATCGCTCACACATTGGCGCCGCTCGTTGACGCCGGTTTTGTCTTGTGCTTTCCACCATCATGTCACAGCTATCATGTCGCAGCCGAGATTGAGAATGCTGGAAAATCGACCACTGGCGCCCCGGCAGCGACCGGCCTGATCCATAGCTTGCCCCTCGTCGACGCCAGCATCGAAGAAATGCTCCGGCTGAGCACGTCCGGCGTTACGATTCGCACGTTAAGCCAAGCCGTGCCTTATGGCGCGTTTCTCATTCCCGCAGGTCACACGGTCGCTACGACAGCCTTCTTCCGCCACCACAATGCCGAAATCTATCCTTCGCCGGCGCAGTTCAATCCTCTGCGCTTTTTGCCATCAAACTTTTCCTTGCCGTCCCCAAAGTCGCCAACCTCTCCAGGAATGCGGCCCTCGTCGCCCCCGTTGCTTCATCTGCACCATCCGCATGTTGAGCATCCAGCAGCGCACCACCACCACCATCATCATCATCATCATCCGACACACATTACAAGAGATGGCTCTGTGGTTCTCGAGCGGCCGCCCCTCGCTCCCTCAACGACTGGCATGCAGACAAGCCAGCTCGTCGACACGAGCGAAGAAGAGCTGAGCGCCGATGAAGGTAGCGATGCCGGCGAGCCATCGACCGCTCCAACTCCTCGCGCCCAACAAGGACTGGGCCATCCACAACGCACCGTCGTCGCAGACAGCTCCTCCACTCGAGACGCTGCCAGTGCTTCCTCGGCGCCACCCCCTCAGCGTGCTGTGCCCGATTCCGCCATTGCGGAACTGCCGTACACGAACATACCGTTTAACGGGCGCTACTGCGCGTGTGTCGGCCGCATGTACATGACCACCTTTACAAAAGTGCTGCTGTCGGTCGCGATCACTCGGTTTGAGCTGTCCTTTGCTGGCGAGCCGCCCGCCATTCCCAACAGCTGTCTCACCGTTGTAACAAAGCCCTCTCGCGATTGCTTGTTGCGATATCAGAGTCGCGAGGCGTTGTAACAATGTAATTTTTTTCATTTTGTCCCTTTTCATTTTTCCTTTTTCATTTCGAGCTCAAAAACTGAAACATTTTCTCGTTTTGGGTTTTTGGTTCAGTTTTTTTTTTTTTTTTTTTATTATTCCCGGTTTTTTTTTTTCCTGTGTTTGACGGTAAACTGTGTTTGTCCTCAACTTGGACAATCCGCCTCTGTTCAGAGCGGCTTGGTCGCTCCACCCCACTTTGCAGAATAGAAGCCCTGTCCGCAGAAGGGGCAAACGCGGGGGTGCACAAGCAACGGATGGACGAGAGGTTTTTTCGCATCACGATTTTCGTTTCAGCTGTTTGGCGCTTTTTTTTTTTTTTTTTTGTTCAACTGTCGAACAAGAAGAAAAACCGCCGCCTCGGCTTGCGTGCTGCGCCTGTTGCAGCCTTCACAGCCGAGCAGCGTTGCCTCTCCCGTACATCGCTTCACTCTCTTCATCGCTGCGTGGAGACGCAGCTGCGGTGCTCGTGGCACTCGGCAATCGCCGTCGTCCTCCCAATTTTCCGTGTGCCAATCATGCCGCGTTTTCTTTTTTTTTTTTCTTTTCTTTTTTTTTGAAGTGCTGTGCGCCATCGCCCTTGCCCCTCTTCCCCCTTCCATGCCTTGCTCCAGCCTCGTGCTGTCTCGCTCGCCATCTCTCTGCACACGCAATGATTGACTGCGTTGGGGGCTCCGTGCTTCTTTTGTCTCAGCGCTCAGTGTTGTCTGTGGTGCTTGTGGCACACGCGACAACTCGCCCCAATCTCTTCCTTTTTTTTTTTTCGTTTTTTTTTTTTTTTCATTTTCCGCTTGCGAAACATACAGATCTCGCGATTTTTTTTTTCATTTTTTTCAGTTTTTTGGGGGTTTTTTTGGTTGGTCGATTTCCCTCTGCACCCAAACTTCTGACCGGCAAAGAAGAGCGGACAGTGTCTTGGCGTTGCTTCCCGATAAAGTTGTGAATGAGGTGTTGCTCGATCCGTCCTCTGGGCTCACAACGCCGTCCGCCTGCGTCGTTCCAGCCAGCAACAGCCAGCAGTGGGAGAAAACGGTCCATCGGGAAAAAAAAAAAAAAAAAGTTTCAAGTTTGTCGATTCAACTTGCGACCCACGCTCCGCCTTGCACAGACGGCCGGGCGCTTCCTCTTTTCACCTCGCGCGAGATCGTGCTTTTGTGTATTGGTTTGTGGTGTTTCGGTTATCCCTTGTGGCTCTGTGGTTTGTCTTGGGAGCAGGCACCTTTTTTCCCTTTTTTTTCCTTTTTTTTTTCCTTTTCCTTTTCCTTTTCCTTTTTTTTTTTTCTTTTTTCCGATGACTATTTTTTTTTTCATTTCGCGCCTCTTTCAGCGTCCCGCTCCATCACTCCTCCCCCCGTCACTCATCGACACTGCTTGTATTGCATGTTTCACTCGATTTGCAACACTCACCTTCTGATTGCTCCTTGTGCGTTTGGCTGCCTCGTTCTCCATTGGTCGTTTTTAGGTTGTTTCTTTTTTTTTTTTTTTCAAAAAAAAAGACCTTCAACAAATCCAGCGCGCGTTTTTGACAAAACAGCGTCATCAAACAACCGTTCGTTCGTTCGCTTTGGTGCCTCTCAACTCGCCCTTCCCATCTGTTCCGACACCCAACAACATCCAAAGGCAAATCGACACCTCTATCAATTGTTCTCAACTCCAAAAACAAAAAAACAGCCATGAGCGCGCCGCCAGTTCCAGGAGAACAAGTGATGCAGCAGACGGCCGAGCACATGCCACCAGCTGTGGCCCCGATGATGGTCGTCGCCCCGCCGCAGCCTGGACAGCCACACGACGAGGAGGCGTATCGCATGCGCAGACACGAGGAGCTCCAGCAGCCAGTCATGTACCAGTCGCCCCTTCAGCAGAGCGTCCAGCCCCCACCGTTGCAAGCAGCTCAACAACAGCAGCAGCAACAGCAACAACAGCAACAGCAGTCAGGCGCTGCTGCTGCTGGTGGCCAATCGCAAACCTTCCACAAGCTCAAAGTGGAGGACGCGCTGTCGTACCTGGACCAGGTCAAGCTCCAATTCATCAACCAGATGCAAGTCTACAACCAGTTCCTCGACATTATGAAGGACTTCAAATCGCAGAGCATCGACACGCCCGGCGTCATTCTGCGCGTTTCCACCCTCTTTGAGGGCCACCCGGACTTGATTAGCGGCTTCAACACCTTCCTCCCGCCGGGCTACAAGATTGAGGCGTCGTTGGAAGGAGCCGTCACCGTCCACCAACCGGGCGATCGCGGTCCGCAGCAGATCTATCCCGGGCAGTTGCAGCACCTCTTGCCGCGCGTCCCGACACCGCCTACACCTGCCCAACAGGCGCAGGCCCAACAGGCGCAGGCGGCTGTCCAGCAAGCGGCTCGCAAGCAACCCGTCGAGTTCAATCACGCCATCAACTATGTCAACAAGATCAAAACGCGCTTTTCGCAGCAGCCCGAGACGTACAAGGCCTTCCTTGAGATTCTGCAAACCTACCAAAAGGAGCAACGCACCATCAAAGAGGTCTACGCCCAAGTCGCCAACTTGTTTGTGTCGCAGCCTGACTTGCTGAACGAGTTTTCCCAGTTTTTGCCAGAGGCTGTGCCGATTGCCCAGCAAGCACAACAAGCACAGCAGCAACAGCAACAGCAGCAACAGCAACAGCAGCAGCAAGCAGACGGCGTCAATGCGGCTCATAACGCGGCTGCGGCTGCCATGAGCGCGATGCCTGCTCCAGCCCATCTCGACGGCGGCGGCAAGGCTCCCGTCATGCGCAACATGGTCCCCGGTCCATCGGGCCCTGTCCCTATGGACTCGCAGTCCAAGGGCGGCAAGCTTGCCAAGACGACTCGCCGTGGTGCTGCGCCGGCCGGCCCTGCTGCTGCTCCTGCACCCACCCCCGCCGGCAACCGTCCGCCCTCGCAGCAGCAACCCACGCCGCCACCGCCCCAGGTGCAACCGCACCCCATGTATATGCAGCCCGGTCCGGTGCCCTCCAACGCGCCCATGCACCCCATGGCGATGCAACAAGTGGGCATGCAGCCGCAAGCCATGTACCCGCAGCACCCGTATGGCCACCCGATGCCTCAGGCGCCCGGGCAGCCCCAGCAGCAGTCCCAGCAACAACAACCGCCACAGCAACAGCAGCAACAGCAACAACAACAACAACAACAACAACAACAGCAACAACAGCAGCAGCAACAACAGCAGCAACAACAACAGCAGCAGCAGCAGCAGACGGCTGGTGGTGCCGCGGCTCTTGGGAAAAAGAACAAGAACAAGGGCAAGGACGGCCCGCAGGCCGGCTATGGCCAAGCAGATGTCTACCAGCAAAAGATGGCCACGTTTGGTGCGCCTCCGACCGGCGCGCCCTCGTCGATGGGTCAGAACTCTGGGGAGGAGTTGGTCTTTTTCGAGCGCGTCAAGAAGGCGTTGAACAATCAGCAGGTCTACGAGAACTTTTTGCGCATTCTCAACATGTTCACCAACGACCAAATGAGCCGAAACGAGCTCGTCATTGCGGTGCAGGGCATCCTTGGCAAGCACGCGGATCTGTTTGAGTGGTTCAAGTCCTTCCTCGGCTTCCCGCTCAACGAGCAGACAGTGTTGCCGCATCACATGGGCCCGATGGGGTTGATGCAACCCGGCGTCCACCACGCGGCGATGAGTGGACCCATGGGTCCGATCGGCATGGCTCCCCCGATGAACTCGGCCTCCGCCGCCGCTGCAGCGGCTGCTGCTGCGGGCGCTGCGGGTGGCCATCCGGGCATGATGATGGGAATGCCATCACAGCCAGGACAAGCAGGCCCGCATCATCATCATCAGCAGCAGCAGCCGCCCATGTCGCAAGCGCAAGCCCAGCAGCACCAGATGGAGCCGACGCCGTGGCAACCGGTCGACTTTAACAAGTGCAAGCGCCTGGGACACAGCTATCGCGCGCTCCCGAACGATTTCATTCTGCCTCGCTGCACTGGCCGCACCGAGTTGTGCGAGTCTGTGCTCAACGATCAGTGGGTGTCCTTCCCAACCTGGTCGGAAGATACGGTCTTTGCGTCGTCACGCAAGAACGTTCACGAGGAAGCCTTGTATCGCGTCGAGGACGAACGGTTTGAGTTGGACATGGTGATTGAGGCCAATCTCGCCACGATTCGAGTGCTCGAGCCAATTGCGAAGCGCATTTCCAGTCTGTCCCGCGAAGACGCCGCCAAACTGCGTCTGCACAAGAATCTCGGCGGGCAGTCCGAAGTGATTCATCTCAAGGCCATCCAGCGCCTGTATGGCGAGCGTTCTGGCGAGGTGGTTCAAGCCCTCAAGAAAAACCCTGCCGTGGCCGTGCCGGTGGTGCTTCGTCGTCTCAAGCAAAAGGACGAAGAGTGGCGCCGCGTGCAGCGCGAGTGGAACAAGATTTGGCGCGACGTCCACGAGCAAAACCGTCTTCGCTCGCTCGACCATCAAGGCCTCACATTCAAACAGACAGACAAGAAGGCGATCGGCAGTCGCGCGCTCCAGCAAGAAATGGAGACGGCACTCAACGAAGCCAAGACTCGCGCGCGCAGCTCTGTCGTTGGTCGCTCGGCGCCTTCGTCTGCTTCGACAGCCAGCAATGGGGACGCTTCTGCTTCTGCTGCTACTGCTGCTGCTGCTGCTGCTTCAACCACGAGCAAGACGAATGGTGACGCGGGATCACACGCAACCCCCCTCACTCCCGCGGAAATCCTCGCCGCGCCCCATCTCAAGTTCTCACTTCCATACGACACCTTGTTCAACGAGGTTGCCAATCTCCTGTCCTACTACCTCAAGAACATTGCTCCCGCCACCAACAATACCGACAAGGAGCGTGTCGAGCCGCAACTGCCGGCATTCTTGTCTGATTTTTTCGCCCGCGAGCCAGTCACGCCCGACCCGCTGTTTACCACCGCTGTGACGGATATTTCCACTGGACCTAGTCCCCAACAAGTGTCGACGACCTCGAGTGCAGAGCCCGCCGGCATGGACACGGCTCCAGATCGCGCTGCAGGAGCGGAAGGGGACGGCTCAGCTGCTGCTGCTGCTGCTGCTACCAGGCCAACCGTCAAGCCCTCGTGGGCTGCCAAGATTCTTCCTCCAACGGACACGAGCGTGCGAACATTCTACGCCAACCTCCCCTGGTTCTTGTTCTTCCGATTGCTTGCGACGCTGGTGGAGCGTTTGGGCAAGCTGCGTCAGCATGCCGAGTCGCTTGCTACCGCCTACCTGACCGCTGGCGGGGACAAGACCATGGATCCCGAGATTGCCTGCAAATTGAACGTCAAGGTGGCCCTCGACTACCAGCCGCACATGTACTGGAGTGCGTTCATCAAGCTCCTCCGCTCCATGCTCGAGAATGAGATTGACCTGACGACCTTTGAGGACTTGTGTCGCGAGATGTTCACGACCAGTGCCTACCCCGTGTTTACCATTGACAAGCTGCTGCAAACAGTGGCACGCCAGGTGGGTTTTTTTTTTTGGGGGGGGGGGTGTTTTTCTTGTGTTTGTATTGGAGGGTGGGGGTGGGGCTTCTTGTGGTGGGCCGTCTTTCTGGAATTCAAATCTCACCAAATCCTCTTTGTTCTCTTTTGCGTGTGTAGTTGGTGGTCGGCTTTACCGACGATACTGGGTCGCGACTCCTCCAACTCTACCAAACAGAGCGCAGTCGTGTCTCAACTAGCAAAGTCACGGACGATGCGTACGCCAACGCTGCCTCCGGGCTGATTGAAGACGCGTGTTACCGAGTGACCTATGTATGTTTCACACTGAAGGTTTTGTGTGGAGGTTGACGCGGCGCGTGGGTTTTCACTTTTTGTCGTGTTTGGCGGTACATTGTTCTTTTTGTAGAATCCTGTCACGCGCGAAATGGCCTTCTACCTGGTTGATCGCACGGATGTCATCCCTGCCGATCCGGCTTCTGTTCAAGAACAATGGACTCAGTATGTTGACCGCTATCTCAAAACCGAGGCCGTGGATGACGCGCTACTGGAAC